GATGGGCACTGCAGTTGGGCTGAAGATGGTAACTGGGCTGAAAGGCAATTAGCAAATCAGACAAGAAGGCCATAGCTGGATGCTGAGGTGGATCAGGCGGTTATGCTGTTAGAAAAATATATAACTGTCAATAAATAATTGCACTATCTAATGAATATATATGAAATGTACCAGAACAATGGAATTATGAATGAAAATTTACGGAATTCCTTTCTGAAATCTACAATTCTTCTCTTTTCCTTAAACTTTTTCTCACCATTTTCAGGGAAAACCTGACAATGTTACAGTTACATCCCTGATCATAACATATCAATTCACTGCAACATCAATTGACAAGTACATTTAAATACTGCTCACTAGAATCATCTATAAGACCTTGAGGGATTATTCTGGGTCTAAAGCTAGTCTTAAACATAGAAAAGGCTTCTACTGTTTCTGTTTTTATCCAAACGTTCAAGTGGATCAATAGTTAAAGCTGATCAGAGAATGAGCAAGTGACTAACATTAGTGACCACGTATCAAAAGAATTATAAAGGAAAAAGTTGAAGAGCTGAGAATTATTGAAAAATTTGAACAATGTGAAAGAAAGGAGATATAAAAGGCAAATAATTTTGTCTTATTCAAAGAATAAAATAAAATGGGGAGGCCATAATAGACTCAAAGTGTCCCCTCATGCATTAAAAAAATGCACTCATTGCTATTCAAGACCTTTAGCATATGGCTTTGGCTCTTTGCGAGTGGCTTTGGTGTTTTAAACCCTGTAAAATGTAAATGGCTACTTATTTACCCCCAGACTTCTCATAGAGAGAATGAGGAATTTAGTCATATTTGCAGAAGTGTGTTTCCTGGATATTTCTCGACCCACTGTAGTCAACAAAAGCAAGGTCATAAGTGGGAATACATAGTTGGATAATACTTTGTTTACTATATATACAACCATGGTTAGTTAACCCTACTTTGGTTTGAAAGTTGAGTTAGTCCCATGAGGAACTTTACCTGTTAATGGAGACACCAAAGTTTTGAAGTTGATATGCGTGCTCTTCTTTTTTGGTTTTGTCCAAAAGTGATTATGATGGTAAACAAAGCATCGCCACATCTCACAAAGCAGGTAAGAGCACGTTTGCTTATGTATTTTGTCATTGGGGCATTGGTTGGTTAATGAGTGGGGCTAATGAGGCTTGTGGCTGAGGGCACTTGAAGAATCAATTTAATCAATCCTATAGGAATGGAAATAATATTAATTTATTTACTACGGACGGTTGCGTACATCGACTTCCTAATGCCGATTGGTTTTCAGGAATATGGTATGAGATCATTAAGCAAGCAAGGGACCTATCAGTTACCAGGAATAACTCAGGTCTTTCTAGTGGCTTAACTGCAGGGCAAATGCACAAGAGACGTGGACTTTTCATCATTGATCAAGCACTCTGATAGATAGTGATTGATCACTGTGGCACGTCGATCGGTTGTGTGTTTGGGAATACAGTGACTTTAAGGATTGTACTACGAAGAAATATGGTGGGAACAGTACCAATCCTTTAATGAACAAAATATCCAATGATTGATCAACGGTTCCTGCAGGAACCCTTTGGAAGCTATCAAAGTTCAACATAAATCACTATTAAACCAGAGCCTTCAGTTAATGAAGATAAACTATATATGATTAAAATCACTAGTTGGACTAGAAAATTTGTTTAAAGCTCCTAAACAACTTCAACATATCCACATTGTTAGTGGCTTAAGACCTTAATGAAGCTAAGGTCAGCGCCAAAATAACAAGCATGCGGGTCACTAATATTCTAATGGCACCTTCCACCATTATTATTATTATTATTATAAAACAAATAAACTATTTGTCATTGACAACAAGGCATTGTGAAGTTTTTGAAAAATATCAGTAAAGACAGAAACTGCAACTTGTTCTTTTTTCTCAGTAAGATGTGCGGAATGAGTTTATCTTGTTTGAACCAATCACAGGGAAATTGATGACCTCACCAAAGAAATTGAAAGGAAAGAAAAATGTAGGGTTGTTTAAGTGGAAGAGAAAGTGGAGACAGTGCACATTTGGTACAGGTGATGTTGCCAAAATTTTGGCATTCCATGATGGAGAAGCCTAAAAAAGTTTGAAACTAGATGCTGATATGGTACCCTTGTGTGGTCACACATTTTCCAAGAGATCCCAACCATTACTAAAGCAACCAGTTGTTTAAATCAATAAAAGTACAAATAAAAACACTCTTGTTACCATTTCCATGGTTGTATTTTCTTTTGAATGACTGAAATTTCACTAAGATCAAGAGCCCGGTGAACCTGCTGGTTTTTAAGACTTTAACAAGAGTTTGCTAGGAGCACTGCAATGTATGTTCTTCTTAACATGTACCATATTATGCCTTAGTTTAATTATGAATTAGGAAATAAATATGTTAATGTAGAGAGAGAGTTGGTATATTGGAGTTGAATTGACTTGCTGTGCAATTGAATGCAAGAATGGTGCACCAGCCACCCAAGGTTACTACTATACAGGACCCACTTGAGCCATTAGGCGTACCAATTCAAATTGTTGCACTCTCAGATGATGTTTGGCACCAAATGGATTAGGTGTTGAATCCAGTCCCCTTCCGTACGTAACACTGGCCCTTCATCATCTGTATATTACTAGCTATAGCAACAACTATAGGGCAGGCATGAATGAGAATAAAGAAAAACCATTTGTGCAAGCCATTTATGGTCCCTCTACTTTTTTTACTTTTCAAAGCTTCTTTGTTGTTTTCTATAATTGGTAGGACCCCAAAAAACTTGGCTCGTCCTCCAATTTCCCAATGATGAATCAAATCAAGGGTATTCTCGTTTATTGTAGAAACAGTTCCAGTTTTAGCCAATACACAGGACGAAACCTGTATGGTGTATATATGCTTGATTCTTGTTTTGTCTCTGAAAGGTGTTTAATCATATGCATGGCATTGCCAGAGCTAAGAAGGATTACAACCTGCTAACATCTATGAACTTAATAGCTTAACATTGTGAGAACCGATATTTCGATATGATAACATTTCATATACTTAATTTTCGTTAATCGGTTTCCATCATGGATGTTCCCTTAATGTGAACGTACCGCCAACATCGATGGACATGGCAAAGTTCATCTTACATCACACAGTATAGTCAAATTTATCAGTGATGTATGTTAAGTTGCTCATATTCGGCACCTGAAATCATGGATGAACAGACAATTTGACCATTTAACTTCACCAAATAGCATATATTATGGCACTCACACGCCATCAACTTGTGGGAATGGGCCTATTCCAGCTCTGTATAGTCTTTTTCTCCCCCACAAAACTTACTATCATTCAATCATGTCTTGTTCAACTCCTTTTCTGGCAGCTTTAATTTTCAGGTGTTGCCTAGAAAGTTTAGCTTTGATTCTTTTTTTCTTTCATTTCTATGAAATATAATCATATTATGTATTTTCATGCATCAAAGGTTTTTCACATATCTTACCATGCATTCCTTCTCGGTCTTCTGCAAATTTAGAAATGTGAGGATAATGGAAGCAGCCTTCATGGATAAAATTTTGTTGCCTTCGGCATCGGCAAAGCCTAGCTAGGAAGGGAATAAGGCATCAACAAATCTGCAAGGACTAGAACATAGGAATGTTAAAGCTATATTCTATAGCTCCAAATATAATATCTGTCATCATTTTGCACGCATGCACATACATCAAGTTTAATGATAAATTAACAGATATAGCAATAGTGCAGAATACTTTTCCAAATATTATTTTACCTAACCTTTCTTTAGAAGCTTTGTATTGACTCTTTATTCCAACAACCCCCCCCCCCCAAAAAAAACAAAACTCCCATCCAGTAATTTGTTTACCTTTTTTAAGAAAATAGCATCCTAGCTAGAGCTAGTCTTTTAGTGGCGAATAACCTAATTAATCTTTTGTTGAGGTATTTTGCACATAAATGTTTTTTTTTTTTTGGATAATTAAGCTTTATTACCCAAAATAGTAGATCCCTACTACAAAACAATACATCAGGATGTCAAAAGAATGGGGAGTCTATTTACAAACAAAATTAATCAATACCCCAATTACGACATAGATCTAAATTGATGCTATCGTTTCTATTGATGGACCTATCACTTAAAACAGTACCTACAATCATCTTAACGTTGTTGACGATTTCCTCATTACTTCGGCTTTTCCCTGTAAAAAACCTTTGATTTCGTTCCTCCCAAATGGTGTAATTAAAACCGCACCAAGAGAGTCTCAAAATAGTCGAAATCAAGGACTTACCCTTCCAAGAAGATGCTGCCCATTCCAACAGATCAGACCATGAGGAGAAAGCAGAATTTAACCCGGACAGTTAGAGCAGAGAACTCCAAATGGAAGCTGTAAACCTGCACGTAGCAAATAGGTGGTCTCTAGTTTCAATTTCATCATGGCAGAATATACAATCAACATTAGAAATAATCCTGAATCGTTGCAATCTGTCCTTGGTTGGGAGACGATCCAGAATGATCATCCAAGAAATAATACTATGTTTCGAGACATGGAGAGAAAACCAGATCAGCTTATGCCAAGAGACTTTTCTATTTTTAGGCCGAATATCTTCCCAGATTTGCGCGGTGTTAGTTGCAGAAGAAAGCGTTAACGTTCTGGTTATGGTTCGTAATTTTAAAATACGCTTAAAAATCCAGCTTGCATTATGCGGTTCAGACATGGTCCAGAAATCCTTGTTCTTGATGATATTACTGTGAGTCCATGCTACCCAAAGAGAACCTTCACCAGCAAAAAATTTTCTGGTGAGTTGAATCAAGCTCGCACAATTCCAGGTTTTAATATCCTTAAGTCCTAAACCACCTTCAGACTTTGGGTTACAAATTTTCCTCTAGCTCACCCTTGCTCCTGCAGCTTTTGAATCTGAACCCTTCCAAAAGAATCTTGAGCACAGTTGTTCAATTTTCTTGATAATAGAAGGAGGCAAAACAAGTTGTCAACACCAATAGTTTGCAACGCTATAAAGAACAGTCTTGATGAGATCCACCCTTCCTGCATAACTCATATTTTTGCTAGACCATTGTTGAATTCTGTTTTTGATATTGTCTATAAGAGCTTGACAATCTTTTTCAGTAAGTTTCTTGGTTACTAAAGGAACACCCAAGTAACGCACGGGAAGTCTTCCTTGTTTAAAGCCAGTAAAACTTATGATAGATTCAATGATGTGATGAGATATACCAGCCGTGCAGAGTTCACATTTTCCAACATTAAGCTTCAATCCAGAAAATTCATAGAAGCAGACCAGGACTGTAATGACACCCAAAATAGATTCAAGCTTACCTTTGCAGAAAATTAGTAAGTCGTCAGCAAAAGACAAGTGAGCGAGCCCAATATTCTTGCATTTAGGATGAAAAGAAAACATCCCTTTAGAAGCAGCAGTGTTGAGAAGATTGGACAGGACATTCATAATCAGAACAAATAAAATGGGGGAAAGAGGATCGTCTTGTCTTATTCCCTTAGGACCCTTGAAATAACCGATCAAAGTTCCATTGAATGTAATAGAGTACCTAGCATTCGAATAGAAAGCAATAATCCAGTCAATGACTTTAGATGGAAATTCCATAGAATTTAGAACGGCCGAAATGAAATCCTAATTTATGGAGTCAAAGGCTTTTTGAAGATCAATTTTTAAAGCATATCGTGGAGATAAAGATTTCCTCCCATACCCTTTGACAATCTCTTGTGCAAGAAGAGTATTATCAACTATACTTCTTCTCTTGACAAATACAGATTGATTTGGAGCTATAATCCCTGGAAGCAGAGAAGTTATCCTATCAACAAGGATCTTAGTAATTGCTTTGTAAATCACTGAACAACATGATATAGGACGGAAATCAGAAACTTTGCTTGGATTTGGCATTTTAGGAATTAATGCAATAGTGGTCGAGTTAAAGGTTGGATAAATAAAAGATTCCTGGAAGAAATATTTGACAGCTTTAAGAACATCATTTCCAACCACCGACCAAGCTTTTTTGAAGAACAAGACGGAATAACCATCGGGGCCTGGAGCCTTATCATTGCCTTGACTGAATATGGCTTCTTTAATCTCCTCATTGGTAACTTCTTTAGCAAGCATTTCCTTATCTTCCAAGGAAGAAATTGAGTGCACCAAATCTTTAAGAATAGAAGGTGGACAAACTCGAGTATTAGGATCTTGAGTACCTAATAATTTTGTGAAATAATCAATAAGTTCCACTGACATATCTTCAAAAGAATCAAGTCTATCCCCCTAATGATTGACCAAGACTCTTATTGTCTGTCTTTTGTTCTTGGAAGCAATGACAGAATGAAAAAATTTTGTACAACGGTCACCTTCTTTAATCCAATGAACCTTAGCTTTTTGTTTCAAAAACATCGATTCAGCTTCTTCTAACAAGATAAAATCTCTCTGCAGTTCAAGTTCTTTCTCCAAAGGTTCATCACCGTTTAAGGTATGGAGTTGTTGCAATTCAAGTTCCTCTCTCTTTTGAATGCTCTAGCAGTAATGTCGCTAAAACAGTCGTTGTTAAGTAGGGGTGTATTCGGTTCGGTTCGGTTCGGTTTTTTACTAAAAATAGAACCGAACCAAAATAACGGTTTTTCAATATTTAAACAGAAACTGAATAGTTAAAAAACCGAAAAAACCGAAACCGATTTTTTCGGTTCGGTTCGGTTTTTTCGGTTCGGTTCGGTTTATCGTTTTTCAATGAAAAAATCACTTGAAACTATAATTTTTTTTACAAAAATTGCCTATTCGGTTCAATATGGAACAAATGGGTTCCATATGGAAAACCCGAACCGAACCGAATCAAAAAATAAAGCCTTTAAACCGAACCGAAAACCGAACCGTTTAAAGCCAAACCGAACCGAACCGAACCGTTTTACTCGGTTCGTGTCGGTTTTTCGGTTTTCTCGGTTTCGTTGCTCACCCCTATTGTTAAGATGTTTAAGACTAGTTTTGAGGCGTTTAAGCTTTGTGAATAAGATCTTCATTGGGTTGCCTTCAATCTCCAAATTCCAGGATTGACTCACAGTATCAAGAAAGTTTGGGTGGAGTGTGCAATAATTAAAAAATTTAAAAGGTTTTGGTCTATTCACATGGATCTCTTTACTTAAATTCACCAAAGTCATGCAGTGATCAGAAGGACCCGGAGCCATGAACTCCACATAAGAAAGGGGGAAATATTCAAACCATAAAGGATTGATTAAAACTCTGTTTAATTTCCGAGCCAAGAAATTATCTCTTTGCTTGTTGCTCCATGAAAATGTAGGACCAAAATAAGGATGATCTTGCAACTGAAGTTCATGAGTTGTTTCTTGAAAATTTAACGTTTCAGAAGAGGTGATCATACCCGTAAGTTCACTGTCAGAGCTCTCATAATTGTGCAGAATCACATTGAAATCACCTCCCAAGATCCAGGGGAGGTTACTAAAATTAGATTCAATATGCCTAAGATCATGCCAAAGCTGTCTTCTAAAAATCCATTGTTACCACCATAGATAGCAGTAATAATGTAAGGAACATCCTGAAATATTCCTTTAACAGTGATGGTTTGAGCCGAAACATAGCATAAAGAGATATCAATATCTTTTCGCCACAGTAACCATAATCTTCCATTCACAGAAAAATCGTAGTTGGTAATGCAATTCCAATTTTCAAAAGTAGTAGCAAGAATGTTTGCATATTTATCCAGTTTCACGCGAGTTTCCATCAAACAGAGAATTGTAATATTATTTTTGACAGCCCTTTTAAGGACACTGTATTGCTTAAGAGGGTTATTTAACCCTCTTACATTCCAGAATGTTAAATTCATGTCCCGAGGAGCACATGTCTCCTCCCTTACTACGTATTGTAGACGATTTGCGTTTATCCAAGTGAGACTTTTTCTTCAATTTGAGGTCTTTAATCAGTTCAGCAACCCCAGATGTAGAAGCTCGGGTTTTTTTAACTTGATTTTTAGAAGAAGGCTGAACCTCATCAATCGAACTGAGTAACTCAAATCTATTGGAAGATCCTGTAAAACCTTTGTTTGCTAAAGGTGGCCTACCCCTACCCCTCTTAGCTTGTTTCGGGGAATTAGAAGAAGAAACAGTTTCCTTGTCAAACTCAGAAGGCTTAATATTTACTTCTTCTCTTAAGTCAGGAGCAGTTCCTGGGTCTATTGCAGCGAGAGAAGAATCTGTGGGAAGATTAAGATTACTAGAAACAACCATATCAGTAACTTGATTGTGCGAATCAGAGCCTAGTACAAGTCCTCCTTCATTATCCTAACTGGGAATAACAGCAGGCTGAACAAGTTCAGAGGAAGTTAAATTTTGAATATCAGCCGTATTAACTTCAGGGTCAAGGGAGGCAGAAATAACAGATTCTTTTCTCCTCCAAACAAGTGAGGCAGCTTGAGAAGAACTAGGAATTTGATTACAGCCTTTTGTACTGTGACCAAACACGTTACAGTTCTTACAACAAGGAGGAATCCACGGTACTCCATTAACAAATAGAAAAAAAACAATGCGTTTGCAAGTTGCTGCTTCTTAGATTTGCCTAGACTTTCTTTTTTATATAATCTTTCCTTTTATTAATGTCTCCCTTACCATGTTTGAAAGTGGGCCTTGAGGAGATATAGATTAGCTTCAATGTAAATTTATTAGTTAACCATCAACAAAACAACTGATTGTGTGCTGATAAAGTTACCCAGTTCAAGTATAAACAATATTACTCTAGAAAGGTACTTTAAGCACTTATAGATGACATGTAATGAAAGAATATAACAAAATGGATAACCTGTTAAGAGACACTGAACTATTCCCAAAGTCTACCATGGTAGATTGAAGTGCTCAATGGGTCATCTCCTTCATAATAAAGTTTTTATTTTTAATAGGAACTATGCTCAGTTTAATGGTTTATCTTTTAAAACCAGGCTTCGTCGTGTCATCATGCACAAGGCCTTATTCCCTGCCGAAGTTTTGAAGTATGAAGACTTATCCTGAGGTTGACCCCAACACCATTTTTCAATTGCCTTTTTCAGCAAGTATTCTCTCATGCATGCATGCATACGTGCATACATACATGCCTGCACATGTATCATTATACAAGAGCAACATGTACATTAATGACAAATGTTTCAATTCTGCTGCTCTTGTAAGCCCTGACATTGTTACACTTGTTGCAGAAACTGGCCCACTTCAAACTTTTTTCCTCTTATAAAGCCTCGTCATTCGCCACGATTTCCCTTACTTTCAAAGGCTCAACCATCACCGCAATACATTATAACAAACAATCCTTAAAGCTTCAGACATCGATTTCAGAGCTTAAAGCATGATTCCGGATGAGCTTACAAGGCTTCACTACCTAGCACCTGAAAACCAGATCCTAGTTCCAGCCTACATAGGCATGATGCAAAATACTATACCAGATTTTCATTCCAATAGGTTCTTAAACAACCTACCGAATTTCCACATCATGCCACCTGCCCACGAATTCACTGCACAGTCCTCAAGTTTCAGCAATAATTCGACTTCAGACGAAGCTGAGGAACACCAGGTCAGCATCATCGATGAAAGGAAACGACGAAGAATGATATCTAATAGAGAATCTGCTCGTCGGTCCAGGATGCGGAAACAGAAGCAGCTAGATGAACTTTGGTCACTGGTAATCAGGCTTCGCAACGAGAATCAGAGTCTCATGGATAAGTTAAATCATGAATCCGAGTGCCACGACTTAGTTCTTCAAGAGAATGAAAGACTCAAGGAAGAAACCTCCAATCTTCGCCAAATGCTGACGTACATAAAGATCGGCAGTCCTTTTTCTCTTGCACTGAAAGAGCTGGAAGAGGTTCCCTGCAACACTGCTCACCTGCGAGCCGAGTCAACAAACCAATCTATTGCCAACTCTGTAGACTTCCTCCATAGAGATGAAAGCTATCTAGCCATATAAAATTATATGAGTTCGGTTTGCAACGGTTGTTAATCAAGCTTTTGCCTCAGTTTGAGATGTATGAGATTAGAGTCAAACTATGCAATAACATCTTCTGATCATTTTTATCCTAACTAAAGCATAATGGTCAGCAAACGTCATTGTTTTAAGCAACTGTTTGCAGCTCTTCTCGCCGCGTAACATTCCAGAGCGGAATATGCGAAAACGATACCTGCAGTGGTCCATCAGAAGCAAATCAAACACTCAATCATTACCTTTTATATATTAATAATCATTTTATGAACCCCACCAACTCTGGTTATAGAATTTCACCCAATATATGGAATAGAGAAAGAATAGTAAACAGCACCAAGAGATAATTTCACCAATTTCACTGCCATAAGGGGAAGTAACATATACATATAAGTAACATATATATATATATATATATATATGCAATCGTTAAGAAACACAAGTTGCATTGCGAGTGAGGCCCCATAGCCAGTACAATTTCCAGTGTTGCTCACAATAACAGGGGCAAGATGACAAATTGTGGTGGAGGTGCTGCTACTAGTGCCTCATCGTTCAAATAACTACCATACCAGGCGAAAAACATATGAAAAGGCTATCCACCAACATAATCAAAATTACTGTTTTTCAGCTTTTCTTGCGAGGTGATTGCATTGTTTCCACCAAAATAGAAGCGAAGCGACTCCAAGCGCAGCCTATGCTTCAGGTGCTGCTGCTTTAACTGTGCCTTTCTTTGCCCCACGCCAGATCCCACTGCATTAGCAGTTCTTATCCATATCTCTTGCTTTCTGTGGCCACTGCGAGTCGGTGCCAGTAACCAGTTTCGACATAAGTGGACAAAACCCGCTGGCTGCAGGCTTTGTCTGGTTCATTACAGAGATAAACAAGTAATGTAACAATCAGTATAATGTGTTATAGTCCTTCAGATTGTTTCATTTGCTATTTTACATGCTAAGAATATGAATAACTTGATTCCTTTATCATCTTCAACAACTTTGCTTTTCATGATTCTCGAATGTTTATGTTTCAGAACGTATCAAACTGTAGTTACTGAAGAACTCGAACAATGTATCTTTGGGGCTCAAAAGAATCAAATTATCTTTTTTAAGGTATCAATGGATTAAGCAGCATATCAGAATAAGGAATCCAAACTAAAGTTTTAATTGCATATGGTGATTAGTGAAGTGATCATTTATAAACTATATTACATATACACATTTGTACAACAAAAACAAACACCAATACTTCCACTGTTCCACATAAGTTCGACTACTTTTTTTCTTTTCTTTTTTCTTTTTTCAGTTGTAAATCAACATTACAAGAATAAACAGAAAAACCTAAACATCATGGTACAATGTGTTGTTGGGTGTAAATATAATCCGTATGAGCAGCCAAGGACCTCTTAACCAGACATTCTTCCCCATCCAAACCTTTACACTCATCATCAACCAAACTTGATTCCTGCAAATATTTTTGTTGTTAACATGCAAAAACCCTGAGAAAAAATGGCCACTGAAGCAACAAAAAGAAACCCAAAATATCAAACAAAACTCACCGGTGAAAATGGTGTTTGAGAATCATCGGCCAGCTGGCCAATACTTGTTGACAGACAGGGGCGGACCGAGGACAAAAATTCAGGGGTGCACAAAAAAATTCTTATAAATTTTTTTAAGGGTTGCGTAATATTAAAGGTGACACTTGTATTAATTAAAAAAAATTAGAAAAAATTAACACTAAGTAGACAATTTTGTTGTATAATTTTTTTTTCTATAAGAATTTAACTGAAATATAGAGATTCTATCTAAAAATCACAAAATATATATATAAAAATACTAAAATAATAACATTTGATCAATGTTCCTCACAATTTGAGGGGTTGCCCGTGCTACCCCTGGCAACCCCCTGGGTCCGCCCCTGTTGACAGAGGTCTAGTTTTTGCAGTAGACATCAGAAGAAGAGCCATGATCAATAAAACGAAGCTCTTTGCCATTATTTTTTTGTCCAGTTTTGAAGTTGGAGAAATGAGTTGAGGATCAATGGTGGCAATATTTTTATACAAGGGTAATGGCAATTAATTAAAGATTCTTGTTTCCATGATTGAACATTGAAATCATGAAAGCAGAGACTGGGAATATCCAGTAGGTGGTGGTCAATGAGTTTACTCACCCATGACTTGTTGTCCTAGTAAACATCGCCATTGATAAGCATCATGGAGAACTGTAATTATTTGTTTTGTATTTATGTTCTTTGAATGACGATGCAGAGAATCTTACAGACAATGTGCTAGCTGTAGCTGTAGCTGTACATGCAGGTGTAAGGTTTATACCATGCTCACTCACCGGCATGTGATGTTGGCCAAACACCTACAATGATTCTTCTTCTTCGTAAACTATAGTTTACCATTTATAAATTAAGTTAAATTACATATTTATGAGCAAATAATTTTTCGTATCATGAAAATTTTAACTATTTAATCTAAATTTTATTTTTAGTTAAATTTAAATATTAATCTTTTAAAAATAATTAAATTTGTTGATAAAATCAAATAAGTTGTGATAGTTACTGGCTGACGATTCATTTCTTTTTATTTTTTTCATATGTTCTAAAACTTTCAATCATCCTGCTACAACCATTGATATTCGAACCTGTGATCTGTAGGATCAACAACGATTCATTTAACTACTGAAATAAATTAATTCGTGAACATTTTATAGACGCTATTGCTTGAATTTAGAATTCTTAAAAAAAATTAACATTATATTTTATCATAAAATCACTTGACGAATTTAATTTATTATTTATTATTTATAATTTATCTATCATCAAATTAAGATGTAAAATAAAAGGAGAGATGGTAAGTTTGATTTAAGTCGTTGATTTGAGGATTTTATTTAGTGGCGCATCTATAATAAGTTTAACAGTAGGTATATATTTATTTTAAAGTTTGAATTTTTTGATTAATTATTTATTTTGTTTATTGAATATAATATAAAATGTTAACAGTTACATTTTACAACGGACGATCAAAACAATAACAAAATATAATATTAGATATAATAAAAAAATAATTAATTAAAATAGAAATATAAAAATAAATAAATGGTCAAATAATTATTTTATGAAGAAAACTAATACTATAAAATCTTGGGAAATTCTGCAGTGGCACTTAAAAAAAGGTTAAAAAATGACGTGATCGGTTAAATAAGTGACCGGTTAAAATTTAGACCGGTTATGTTATATCATTTAACCGAAAACATTATCAAGCGCAATAACATATTAGGTACCGCTTATATAATGTAATATGTAGCGTTTATATAATAAAATAGGTTAATTACTGGAAACGTTATCAAGCACAATAATATATTAGATACCGCTTATATAATGTAATAGGTAGCGCTTATATAATGTAATATGTAACACTTATATAATGTAATAGGTTAATTACTGGAAACATTATTAAGCACAACAACATATTTATGTAGCGTTTATATAACGTAATAGGTAGCGCTTATATAATAAAATAGGTTAATTACTTAATTTGTTATTACAACATATTAGGTAAACGCCTAAAATGTTACCAAGGATAACATAATCGGTTAATTACTGGAAACATTATTAAGTATAATAACATATTAAGTAGCGCTTATGTAACAAAATAGGTAATTACTTACTTAATTTGTTATCAATTATGATAAACTTATTTTAGGAATAAATGTTAACAAAATTTAAACTACATATTACATTAAAATACCTACCGTTTTTTTAAGGTTGTTAATAATGTAAACGGTAAAAAAAAAAATAGGCGCTACCTATTACATGAAACTACTGATTCCATTTAAATAAGTATCGACACTTTTGGAATTTAAAAGAAAAGCAGTAATAGCGCCTATAAAGTATCGATACTTTATAAAAATGTATCGATATTTTACAATATAACAGGTAAAAATATGACAAAACCAGTTTCATTATGACAAAACCGGTAAAATTTACCTGATATGTTGAAAGTATCGATCATTTTTATAAAAATGACCGATAGTTTACAATATAAAGGTAAAAATATGACAAAACCAATTTCATTATGACACAAACGATAAAATTTACCTAATATGTTAAAAGTATCGATCCTTTTTATAAAATGGATCGATACTTTACAATATAAAGGTAAAAATATGAGAAAATCAGTTTCGTTATGACAAAAATGGTAAAATTTACCTAATATGTTTAAAGTATCGATCCTTTTATAAAAAGGATCGATACTTTACAATATAACAGGTAAAAATATGATAAAACCGGTAAAATTTTATCTAATGTTGAAAGTATCGATTATTTTATAAAAAGGATCGATATTTTACAATATAATAGGTAAAAATATGATAAAACCAGTTTCATTATGACAAAAACGGTAAAATTTACCTAATATGTTGAAAGTATCGATCCTTTTATAAAAAGATCGATACTTTACAATATAATAAGTAAAAATATGACAAAATCATTTTCATTATGACAAAACGGTAAAATTTACATGATATGTTGAAAGTATCGATCCTTTTATAAAAATGATCGATACTTTACAATATAACAGGTAAAAAAATGACCAAACCAGTTTCATTATGACAAAACCGGTAAAATTTACCTAATATGTTGAAAGTATATATATTTTTTTATAAAAAGGATCGGTAAGTTTTTGAAAGTTATGTAATTTATGTTTCAAAATTTTTTAATAGTGCTTCATGTTTTCCACCTACAATATTAATTTAATAATTTCATTTACACAAAAAATTATCTGATTGTTTTGATATTTTAAAAAAATATTATTTAGAATTTAAATTTAATAATTTTAACCGAAGATAATAATAATAATTAATATCTATGTTTATTGTTTGTAATTTGATAATAATATATACCGTAACATAAAAATAAATTATTAGACGTGTATAATTATTAAATTAATATCTTAAAACAAACTCAAAAGATAACATTAAATTAATATTTTTCACAGTGAAATAAGTATGGACACTTATATATATGTATCGATACTTACCGATAACCAAAGTTTACCGGTTATCAAATTTTTTAATAATTTTTTATGTTTTCTACCTAAAACATTATTAGTCTGTCAACATAATAAGTAGTACTAAACTAAATTTATTAAATATATTTAATATATCCGATAATGTCGTATATTAGCGCCTCTCCCGATTCAATCCCTAAAATCTTACTGACCAAATATAAAAAAAAAATAGGATTTGAGAGACGGGTAACGCCCAAGGAAGGGAATGATTCATCGAATGGCAGACACAGATACCATTATGGTATGGGCCAGGAGAAACAACCCACCCAAAATTGAAGTGAGAAAAGGTGACTTGCCCAAGAGGTCAGTGCTCGGTGGCTTTCCATTTTATTGCCTTTGATTTGGAACAAAACCACGCCGCTTCTTCTTCTCAAACGCGTCCATCTTTCCTCTCCGGTAAGTCCTTTTTCCTTTGCCTCTTTAATCATTGAAGGCATAAATTTAAAACCCCAAAGGAAATCTTTTGTTTCTTCTCTATTTTTTATCTGTCTTCCATGTAGTTCGTTTTTTCCCCCAGGAAATTATACGCTTTATTTGAGGGTACTGGGCTTAAAACAAATTAGCTCAGTTATTGTGGGGTAGATTTCTTGTTTAGGTGAATGAATTTGTCTATATCTGCGGGTTTCCGGATATAATACATGTGAAGTGTTTGGCAAAATGCCAGAAGGAAAATTGGGTTGCTTTGAATGAGGAGGAAAAGGGCGATTTAATGACTCTATGGGTGAAGGTCACATTAGGGTTTAACATGGAAGTCACCAGTCTTTTATTTCCATTTTTTTTACTGATTTAGTGGATTTTACCATGAAATTTTATTGATGTTGGACTATCTTTCTTATGGGAAATGCAATGATCATGTTCATAGTTTATTCTAACAAAAACCAATAAACTTTTATTTTTAGACATTTATGTTCTTTGTTGAAACTTTGAAATTTCATTAATCTCATACGGCTAGGTTAGAGAACTGAGTCCAACTGAGTTTTTTTATTTTTTACTGGAATATAAAGATTGATGATGATAATCTCTGTTTTGCATAAATTGGTAGTGCAGAACTTGAGTTCTGAACTGTAATAATGGAAGACGTCATAACAGAAATACCTCCACCTTCGAGATTCTTTCAGGAAGATCTCAACAACTTTATAACTCCATCTCCACCTCTTCCATCGCCATTCGTTGTGTTTTCTAATCCGAAGCCCGAAAAGCCCCTTCGCCCATCTCTACTCATTGTTGCGTTATCCTCTCCATCTTTGTATATCTTCCACCACTTGTCACCTAAGACCTTAATTGGAAGTCTTATACTACCCGAGGTCCCTTTCTCTGGCATCTCTATCGAACCCTCCCTCACAGACAAAACATGCAACATTTATTCCTTGAATGATGGGGATAAATCCATTCTACTTGCATCAGTTCAGCATGGCGTTTCTGCCGAGAGATCTCACCTTGTTGCGAGGTTGCTGATCGGTGAGGATATTATTCCTGAGAGGCTTTTGATTTTGGATTCAATTCAGAGTCGGAACTTCAGGGGAAAGCTCTCACCAGATGAAACTTATGCTTTTAAGCTGGAGACGTTAGCCGAAAGGAAAGGATTGGGTGGTGGCAATGTAGTTTCCTTGCTGCTAAAGGGTTTAGACTATATTCCATCTGGTAGCATGATCGATGGCTTGGCTGCTGCTTTACTGAGTCGATGCCAATTGAAGAACATAAAGGGAACATTGTGTGTTTCGTGGCCTGAATTTGGTGGTCCCGTGGTGGCTCTGATTAAATCTCTACTGCAAAGGAATGTGTTGCCTAACTTGGATTCGAGCTTAAAGGGAGACGTGCAGGATCAATACGCGACGCTCAATCTAATTAAGCATCAGCATTATGATACTGAAATGTATACATAGTGAACAAGGTATTTGATTCACACACCGAAAAACAAAAGTTGAAATATGTTCGCTTTTATCTTTTGAAAGAGCTGCGTGAGGACAATTTGTCACTTCTGTTTAGTTTATGGAAAGCCTTTTGAACTTGCTTCTGTTTGATCTTAGAATTGCATGAGTCCCTTATGGAAAGCACTCATCCTGCTTTACAATTCAGAAGAAGATAAAGTCTGGTTAAATTAGCATTTCTTGCTTTATTTACTTCGTTGTTGTTAACATTATACGACGATCATGAAACTATCAGACTAAGATGTAGCATTGCTTTTACTTGGTTTGTAATTGTAGAAGAAAATTTTCTTCTTTGGAGTGGCTCTATGCATGTCTCTTTTGATCATTACGGAGTTAGCTTAGCAAGCCGGGTTTTCCGGTAAAAGGATGGAAAGCATTAAATTCCGTTTGGTTTTAGAAAATATTTGTTATTTCCATTTTCTTTTTTTTTAGAAAATAGAAAACGTTGAAGAAAATGTGTTTGGTTGTAAAATTAAAAAATGATTTTTGGTAAATGAAAATAAAAATAAGTGAAAATATGAAAATATAAAAAAAGATGTTTCCAGTATCTTCATTAAAATTATTTTGAAAATAGGAAATCATGATATCTAGAATTTTTAATTTACACAAGTTTAAATCATTCTAACAATATTTTTTTTTTGATTTAATAATATTTAAAACTCTCAAACTTTTATAAAAAATAAATAAATATGGCCTCTAAAATTTTTTTACACTCGTTATAGTCCTCAAATTAAATTTTTTAATAATTTAATTTTGTAGTGTTTTTATATTTAATTTATTGAATATCTTAATAAATTTTTTTATTTTTTTATCTAAATAAATTTTTATTTTTAAAATTAAATAAGTTCTCGAACTTTTTAATAATCAATTAAGTTCATCTACCACATCATTGTCCATCGAGTACTACCACAATAATATCTTGAACTGTTACATCAAAATTATAGATTGTCATGTAAGTTTATGAACTATCATGTAAGCGTTGTGGCTGTCAACGTTTGATTCCTCTATTTAAACGATTAGATTAATTTTTTCTTCTTCTAAGATTAAGGATCATATTTAGTGCAAAAAACTTTAGAGACTACACTAATAATTTTTTCCCAAAAGTTTGAGGTCTCAATTACACCTAAACATATTTTTTTTATGTTAATGACACTTTTTTGTGCTATTGCTTATAACAAAATTTTGTAAAATTTAATTGATGTCCAATTAAGTATTAACATATTTTTATTATAAGCTAAAATAACTTATGTTATGTAATTTCTTATCAATTTATTATTTTATATTTACATAATTCACATCTCAAATTTATATAATGATTTTTTAATAATTATAGTTTAATTTAATCATTTAATAGATATTTTTTTATTTCTATTTTAAAAAATTAGATACAACATACATTTTTACTATTTTAGTTTTGAATTAAAGTTCTAGACACCTTAATATAAGACTAAAATAAGACACTACCGGTTTTATTATTTAAATAATAATAAAACCAGTAAAAAATTACCTAAAATATTATTATTTTTACCTAAAACATCAATTTTTTAATATTTCTGGTAAAATTGTCCAACAATAACAAAATCGGTAAAAAAATAACAAAACCGGTAGCGCTTTACCAAATATGGTAAAACGCCTAATAATAACAAAATCGATAAAAATAATATTATTTTCGATTATTTTTTATCGGTTTTATTATTTAAATAATAATAAAATCAATAATATTTTTTTTAAATCGTATATTAAGACTGTCGCATGTGAGATTTACTTTTCAATTTCAATGAGTGCTGCCTCGTGGGTTGATTCAAGACTTGAAGATTTTTCGAGGCTCAGATCTTTTAGCAGTTTGAGGCATTTAAAGTCCGGATTGTTTTGGATTTGTTTTATTCGGTCAGTTTCGATCGTAAATTTAAATTTCAATCTGGTAAAAATGGTAATTTCAACCTAATTGTAAAAGTTAAGATTTTTAATTTTTTTAATTTTAATTTTGTATTTGGGAGAAAATTATAATCTTACCCTTTCTAATACATGAGTTCCACTCAATTATGTATAATGTATTTACGTTATATTTTAATAATTTAATATTAACATCTTTAAAAAATTATTTTAAGTACTAACGTTTTTTTATAATATTTTTTTTGTCAAAACAAATATTTAAATTGTTATTTCATAATAATTTTATGTCCACTTGTTAAAAAGTATTGATAATATATTTTTCTTAATAAAATATTATATATATAAATATTATTAATGAGTTATATTAAAATATTTTTTATAGTTTAAGTTGATATATTTTATATATTATATTATTAATAAGTAGGGGTGAGCAAAACTAGACTCGACTCGAAAAATCAAATTTTTTCAATTTTGAGTTATTCGAGTCGAGTTATTTGAGTCAACTCGAATTATAAATTTGGTTTTTGAGTTCGAGTTAAAATTTTGAAATTCGAGTTACTCGAAAAATAAAAAATTTGACAAAGTATTTTGACAATTTTATGATTTAGTCATTGATTTCATTATTTCTTCAATTCCTCTGTCATTTAAAGTCAATTTTTTTCCAAATTTGAATCACATGCTCCTAAATCATAGTAGAATACATGTGTACTTTCAATTCCTCTTTTTGATAACAAATTCTTTTATTTTTCAATTTAGTCATTTAATTTTCCATATTCTTCTTATTTCTTGAATTCGTCATTTATTTTAAGTATTTTTTTACTAAATTTGAGCCACATGCTCCTAAACTATAATAGAATACATGTGCACTTTCAATTCATCTTTTTATAACAATTTTTTATTTTACAATTTAGTCCTTCAATTTTTCATAATCTCCTTATTCCTTCAATTTGTAATTTATTTTAAGTCATTTTTTTACCAAATTTAAACTACATGCTCATATACCACAATAGAATACCTATTTAACTTCAATTGTTATTTTTTTGTTACAAAAGATGTACTCTCTTTTTATTTAGTCCTTTAACTTTTCATTTTATTAAATTTGGTCTTTTAACTTCAATTGTTTGCAAATTCTTTCTTCTCATCAATTCCTTGACTCATTTATACTCTCATCAATATTTTACCCTCAAAATACTTTCTTTAAAATATAATATTATGAATATATTTCATAATTTTAGATTGTATTTGATATATTAAATAACATTATAATATGAAATAGTATATATATATATAGTAATTATAGTTAGATAAAGTCAAAAAATTGGAACAAATCATTGTCATAATAATATAAATAATTATAATAAAATTAGAATAGAAACTCGAATAACTCGACTCGAATTTCTTAAATTCGACTCAATTCGAAAAAATTTCAAGTTAAGTTCGAGTTGTAAAATAAAACTCGAATAACTAGAAATATTTTGACTCGACTCGACTAGATCGAATGCTCACCCCTATTAATAACTGTAAATATAATTTAAATGTTATATTTTTAATTTACAACATAATGTCTAATGAACATTTTATTTATTCAAACTCATTTTTTAACAACAATCTCAAACAATTAAATTCTAAACTGCACTTTTGTACATTTTTAAAAGTCATTTTTCAAATGTTACGCCAAACTGACCCTTAGAACATCGGTTTGTTGTTTTTCTATGATCAAATCAGGTTTGGTTAGCTTGGGTTTATATTAATCTAGGTGGAATTTTATGTTCGAATTAAAATTAACAGGTTCAATTTAACATGTATTTTTTAAGGCGTGATTATAAAATAAGTGTCCAAACTATCTTTTTTTTCAAACAGTTACACAAATTTTTTTCTCGATGCATCTAGGTGTTTAATGTTACAAACATTATCATTTTAGGTGTCTCAACTGTAGTGGTCATTAAAAAAACCCCCGTTATGTGACATGTGTTAGATTTATAATTTTTGAAAATTTATTTTCTAAAAAAACCATAAAATTGATATTTAGAAAAACCTTAAAAAAATTAAAATCTGGTAAATAAGCCCACATTCTTAAAATCTCTTAATCTAGTCTCCTTTACTCCAATTGTCAGTCATCTTCGGCCTCCCATCTATTGATATACGATCATTTATACGTCGCAAACCGCCCACTGGCCAGTCATAACCCTTGTTATTATCTCAAAACCCAAAGTTCTCATATTGTTACACTTAAATTCTTGATCCTTAAAATCTGAAATACATAATCCGTTTGATCGATCCTGATAATCTATCGTTTAGCCGGCTATGACAGTCGGTCATTTGGCCATTTGGTCGACTATTTGACTGTTTGGCCCTGGAAAGACAGGGGAGGGAGAGGGGATGCAGATTGGGGAAGTTTTTTTAAATTTTAATAATATTTTATTTAAAAAATAAAAATTTCAAAATTTTATAAATGTGACACATGTCATTTAACGGGGTTTTTAAATGATCGTTATAGCCGAGTAGGGATGGACACAGGGTGGGTCGAATTTTAGGCCGCCCCGTCCTCAACCCGAAAATATATACCTAAAACCCAACCCCGCCCCGCCCCTATGAATTTGAGATTTTTTTCCCACCCTAGACTCACTCGATGTTTAGACTAAAATCTCGATCTCAACCAGACTCGATATGAATATATTAATATTTAAAAATAATTAAAATAATATATTATATAGTAATATATTTATAATTATTTATTATATTTTAAATGGTTAAATTAGTATATTTTATAATATTTTTTATATTTTAATGATTAAATAATATATTTTAATAATATAAAAATAAAAATTCTTAAAATATTAAATATAATATATATATATATATATAATTAATTGGGTCAGGCTGGGTTTGTATTTTTCACCTTAAATCTGGCCCCGCCCTGAAAGTTTTGCCATATAAACCTCCCCGCCCCGCCTCGAGCATCGAAAATTCAAACAAAAAAAACACCGCACTTATAGGTTCGGGTTAGGTCGAGACCGTTGGGTTTGGGTATTTTGACCATCTCTTCCCTATAATCGAGGCACTTAAAATTGTAACGTTTGTAGCGTTAGACACTTGGATGATTCGAAAAAAATTGGACACCTATTTAAAAAAGGTATAATGCAATAAAATACCTCGATACTACCGACAAATTTACCCATATTCTTTTTTTTTGACACATTTGACTACTCAACGTTTCATTTTGAGTCAAAAAAACCCTTGGTGGATGGAAATCATTAGTCAACTGACGGTTAACGCTTGGAGCTGACTAAGCAAGAATAAGTGGCGGGAAATGCTGACGTGGCATGTCCAGGTCATAGTAAATGATGATGTGGCAATGCCACATCAGATTTTTAAATAAAAATAAAATTATTATGATTTAATTAATTAATTATTACCAATTAGAGAATGACGTGTGTCAATTAGTGTTGGTTTAAAGGAACTATCAAAAGATAGATTGCATGATAAAAGGACTCAAACTTGGGCAAATAGTGTGGGATAGAATGGCTTTTACCACCATACCAAACTATTTACTTGGTAAAATGATGAAACAAACCCTAATTAAACATTTTTTCAATTTAACATGTATTTGAATGTAAGCATAGGACATAAATTGTTTTTAATATATATATATACATGCTTAATTAAAAAAACGTATTTTTTAGTCCTTTAGGTGTATAATTTTTTTTTATCAAGATGGGTATTTAATGTTTCTTCCATTATCTTTTTATGTATTTGGTCTGTTTGCGACTGTTTAAAAGATTCGTCAACCACTTAAAACATGATAAGTGGTGTGTTTATAAATTTTTAAAATTTTTATTTTAAAAACCAAAATGATTTAAAAAAAATTCAAAATTTACTAAAATATTTATCGTCAAACTTTATTGTTGATCATCTTCTTATTGTCATCTTTAAATCCCTAAACCCTTAATTCCCATTTTTAATAGTTGGTTTGGTTCACAAAACAAACCCCTTGCAGGACTGTTCTACGATTGGAGGAACATTCAATCTGCAGTTTAACTTTGGAGCTACAAGGGTGATAGATGTGTGGGATTTTAGGACGATGGGTGGCTCCAAAGATTAGGGATTTAACGACAAGGGTGATAATTGATCAATAGGAGAACACGGACAGTTGAGTGATGTTTGACGTCGATAGCGACAATCGGTGATGACTATTGGCCACTAACGGTAAGGAGATTTGCAATTAAAGATTTTAAGAGTGAAGTGTTTTTTTTGCCATTCTATTTTTTAAAAATAATAGTTTTAAGTTTTTTAAATTTATAAATTTATAAATATGCTACGTGTTATGTTTTGAGTGGTTGATTATTTTTAAGAGTCGTGATAAACTGAACAGTTAAAAGAGTAACGGAGAAAACATTAAGTATTTGAGTTAAAAATTTTAAGTACTTAAAATGAATAAAATATAGGTTTAATGCCCAAATAAGTGCTCAAACTATGCCTTTTGTGTCAAATAAGCGTCTACATTTTTTTGGCTTATCCGAGTGCCTAACGTTACAAACGTTAGCACTTTAGGTGCTCAAACCGTCAACAATGTTAGTTTTCTCCGTTTAGTGACACGTGTCATAACTTGATAATTTTTGATTTTTTTTTTAAAATATTATAAATATTATTATATTTACAAAAAACTCAAACTTTCTTATATTATAAAACAACCCCAACATCTCAAATTCTAACATTAATCCGCCGTTGCCACCCTCTCCGGCCACGACCAAGTCTTTGCGATCATCCTAGTTATATGCCACCGTAGTTGTTATCGATTCACCATCGGAATCACGTGGGATCACGATTTTCATCATAGGGTTCGTGGGATTTAAAACGTTGATTTGTCATTGATCAGACGTCAACCGATCACGATTTCATAGGGGTTTTGATCGTCAGGAAAAGGGGAGGTCGGGTGGAGCTTCTTCGACGGCCAAGGTCAGCGGTTGGTATGGGTTTAGGGGTTGAAATGAAGGTTTTCAAAGTTTAGGGGTTATTTCAAAATTTACGTGTTTTCTTTTAAAAAATATATAATTTTATTTTTTTAATTTTATCTAAAAATTTTAAAATTACCATATTGTGACACGTGTCACTTAACGGAAAAAACTAACGCTGTTGACAACCCAAACATCTAAAGTACTAACATTTGTAATATTAGGCACCCAGATGGGCAAAAAAAGTAGGCACTTATTTAGTGCAAAATGTATAATTTGGGCACTAAACCAAAAATATAATTTGGAAAAATTAAGTTATATATATATATTTTGAACACGAGTTGCATTTTCCTTTATCTAAAGCTTGTGCCTTCTTGCAAGCCAGGGATAGTTCAATTTTGATGAATTTGATTTGTTCCGACTCGTGATACTAATCTCTTGCACTTGAAGAATCATTTTGCTTCTATTTTCTGGTCAGTCTAGGTTTTGCAAATGAAAAATTAAAACACAAGCAACATTGTTCCTCAATATTATTCTTGTTTCCCAAGCAAAACTGCCAGCGGGTTAAGCCTATAACGTGCAAGTTGAACTTTGTTTTTCATTTTTCATTAAAAAAAAACTTTCCTCCTTTTTTTTAACAATAAATCAAATATGAATATTTAAAGACCGGTTTAACCTAATAAATTCAACAAATCAAGTCTACATTATATAACGAGTTAATTACATCACATGTCCTCAAAGTATGACCTTCATTTTAAATTGATCCTTAAACTTTTAAATGTTCCAATTCCAATCCTAAACTATGATCATCATCCTAAATTGGTCCAAAAACTTCTAAACATTTTAATTTCACCCACAAACTATGACATGCATTCTAAATTGGTCCCCAAACTTTTTGAACATTCTAGTTTCATCACAAACTACACGCATGTACTAATCATATCCTTTGTTAATAGAATCATTAGGCCAAGTTATATTATTATATGTTTAAAAAAAATAAAATTATGGTTAAATTATGGTTGAAACTAATCACAAATATGGATGAATTTGGGGATGAAATTAGAATATTCAAAAGTTTGGAATCAATTTAGAAAGAAGCTCACATTTTAGGGATGATGTTCAAAAGTTTAAGGACTAGTTTAGAATGAGATTCATAGTTTGCCGATAAGATTAGAATATTAAAAAGTTAACGTACCAATTTAAAACGAGGGTTATAGTTTGGGGACATATGATGCAATTATCTCTTGTGTAAACAGATTAAAGAAGGCATTACATCATTTCTTATGAATTCCTTTGACTAGTTCCGATTATGACAACCTGTTTTACCAAAAGTCCTTTGGAAATTGAAACTCTCTCTTTAGCATATATTACTTTTGGTTTTGGAGCACTCACCAACCAGGCCAACGTTAGTTGTATCCTCTCTTGACTTTAATTTTTACACAATTTGCGCTAAATACTCAATCGCCTATGCCTCAAGACCAAGCTTCAATCTTTCCCACGCCGTTTCTCCCTTTATATATCTTCCAACTCCTTCCCATTTCCCCATTCCATCTTCCTCGAGAGCGAAAGATTTGATATCGAAGAATGGCCATTTACCCTTCTCTGATCACAATGCAATGCTTCATTGTTTTGGTTTGTATCTCCATTTTCAGCTCCACAGTTACAGCAAGCGACCCTCCTCTAACATTGGACTACTACAAGTCAACATGTCCCAATGTGTTTGATATTGTGAGGAAAGAGATGGAGTGTCATGTCCTCTCGGATCCTCGCAATGCGGCTTTCGTCGTCCGGTTGCATTTCCATGACTGTTTCGTTCAGGTTAATGAAATATCAATGCATCTATGTCTATGAAATGGAGAAGAAAAAGAAAGACGGTAGAGATTTATTGTATGAATATGGTTTTTTGCAGGGCTGTGACGGGTCGATTTTGCTCGATGATACAATCGACTTACAAGGAGAGAAGAAGGCCTCGACAAATGGATTAAATTCACTAAAGGGTTTCAGAATCATTGATAAAATTAAGAACAAGCTTGAATCCGAGTGCCCTGGGATTGTTTCTTGTGCCGATCTCCTCACAATTGCAGCCAGAGATGCTGTGATTCTGGTATTGAGCTTCTTTGTACACTAAAAACTTGATTAAATATTCTAGTTGGCCTCATTTTCTATGTCGAATTATTTGCAGGTTGGTGGACCTTACTGGGATGTACCAGTGGGACGAAAGGACTCGAAAACAGCTAATTCTGATCTCTCTAGCCAAAACATTCCTACTGCAAATGAGGGTCTTCTCGGTATCATATCCAAATTCCTTTATCAAGGTCTCTCGGTGACGGACGTGGTAGCTCTTTCTGGTAATTTGTTCTTATGTATATTCAACAATGGACATAGATAATGCCCTGAATTTCCCAAAGTAATCAACTGGGACTTGATATGTGAATGACTTGCAGGGGCTCACACCATCGGAATGGCGCGCTGCGAGAATTTTCGAGCTAGAATTTACGGAGACTTTGGAGCAACTTCAGGGATGAATCCGTTATCGGGTTCATATCTCGGCAAATTGAAATCAGTTTGCCCTGCAATAAGTGGACCAGGAGACAACAATGTGACAGCAATGGATAATTTCACACCGGATCTTTTCGACAATTCTTTCTACAATACGCTTTTGAGAGGTGAAGGGTTGCTTAATTCAGACCAAGAACTGTATTCCAGCGTATTCGGTATCGAAACCAGAAAGCTTGTCCGTAAATATGCAGAGGACCCTGTCGCTTTCTTCAACCAGTTCTCGGATTCGATGGTGAAACTGGGGAATATTACCAATTCGGATAGCTTTGTCAATGGTGAAGTGAGGAAGAACTGCAGATTTGTCAACACTTGAAGAAGGAAGAACTGCAAAAACACCAGCATTTAGTAATGAATTGTTGGTTTGTGTCAAGAAGAAAGAAATAAACTTTTTCTACAAGTTATTGTTTTCATTGAGTTGAAGAGAAAAAAAAAAGATAGTAAGTTCCCTTGTACACCAAGAAAAGGCGATTGAAGTTTATGTAGAAGATTAATTTCAAACCAACAATACAAATATAATCCACTCTCCCATTGAAAATTTCTTGTCAAAGTTTCTGTTTTTCATATATGTTCATAGGATCATATTTCAGGGTCATTATAACTACTTATGGAATACATGTATTTTAAGAAAAGGGTAATTATAAATTTCATCACTCAACTTTCGTCTCACTCCTATTTCGGTCACCAAAGGTTAATTTTTTTTTAATTTACTCACTAAACTTTCGATTTATTCTTATTTTGGTCATTCCACATTTAAATACATAATAATGTTATGATTGAACATCTTTCTTTTTAAAAATGGCTTAATACCAAAATAAGTGCCGAAATTATACCACTTTTCCCAAATAGGTGCCTCAACTATTTTTTTGACTCATTCAGGTGCCTAACGTTACAAATGTTACCCATTTAGGTGCTCGGGCCGTCAACGACGTTAATTTCCCCGTGAAGTGACACGTGTCACAATCTGATATTTTGAAATTTATTTTTTTAAATATTAAAATATTATGATATTTATAAAAAATACTAATTTTTCTTATATTATAAAATAACCCCAAAATCCCAAATCCTAACCTTAATCCGCCCCCGCCACCCTTTCTGGCCACAACCATCGCCACCAACATAGTCCCTACCATCCTCTTACTCATACGTCATCGTAATTTCCGTCGATTGGCCATCAGAATCGTGTGGGATCGCGATTTTCATCTTAGGGTTTGTGGGGTATAAAACGTCGATCGATCATGATTTCATTGGGGGTTTTGGTCACCGGGGTTAGTGGAGGTCAAGTGGAGCTTCATCGACGGTAAAAGGCGACGATCGGTGTGGGTTTAGGGGTTAAAATGAATATTTTCAAAGTTTTGGGTTTATTTCAAAATTTTTGTTTTCTTTTTAATATATATATGTAATCACCATTTTTTGCCCTGCCAAGCCCTTACCCATGCCCATACTGCTAGGCTTGTAAACAAATCGAACGAACATGAATTGGGGTATGTTCATGTTCGTTCGTTTAAGTTTAACTGAACAAATGAACGAACATGAACATAAACGAACAAAAAATATCTTGTTCGTGTTCGTTTGTTAAGGAATATAGCTTGTTCGTGTTCATTCATGTTCGTTCATTTAAACGATAAACGAACATAGATGAACGAACATAAACGAACACAATAAACGAACGTAAACGAACACAATAATTGAACATAAACAAACGTAAATGAACATAAATGAAAATAGAATTTTTTTCCTAACAATTTTAGGATTATATTTTATTAAATTATTTTGGGATTTTTTATTTGTATTTAAAATTAATTAAAATTTAAAATATTTATGGGTATCATATTAAAATTTATTGGGCTTTAATATTTTAAATGGGTCTAGAGAGATTGGGCTAAACATAAATGAATGCATATAAAAAGAACATAAACGAACGAACATAAATGAACGAACATATTACCGAACGTTCATGAACATAAATGAATGAACAAGTTCTCTGTTCATGTTCGTTCATTTAATTAAACGAACACAAAATCTTGTTCATGTTCGTTCGTTTAATAAATAAACGAACATAAACAAACTTCCCGTCGAACTGTTCACGAACGATTCGATGAATGTTCGGTTCGTTTACAGGCCTACATACTGCTTCACAGCAACACCATCCCGAGCTCACCAACTACTGTTACTCACCATACCCTGCCACCAGCTGCCACATGAGATGGTTCCCTTCTCTGTCAACCAAACAAATTAGTAGTGAGCAGAAAATCAACAACAATATATATATTTTCTTTCTTTGCATGTAAGAGATGGGTGAAAAAACCCCCAAAAATCATATTGTAATGAGGGTCTCTCCCTTTTTTTGAACAAGCAATATAACTAAAAAAAAGAACTTTCAAAGGTATTAAACCATTTCAAAATTTTCATCTTTTTTTGTTTAATTCGAAGTGAAAAGATAGCAAAAAATAAAGAAAGATTTGAGCGTTTTACCTGAGTTGTTTAGCCTTCACCGGAGTCGAGCCCTGTCGTCGGAGCAAAGGGACACCAAAGGTCGAGTCCTGTTTTAGGGTGTTTGGGTTTTGTTTTTGCTATTTTCAGCTTCGATTTGGGTTTAGGTAGATAGATCGAAGGATGTAGGTTAGATTGAGTTAACTTTTGGCCTTCTTAGCCACCGCATATGGTGGCCGGATGCTTGAACCGACAATGGTTTAGTGGCCACCAGTGGAGAGGAAGAGTTGAAGAAAATTATAAAAGGGAAGTTTTTTTATAAAAAAAATTAGGTTAAAAATGAATGAAACAAAAAAAGGAAGTTTAAATATAAGGACTTTAGGGGTCATTTGCGTTCGTACCCCTGAAATTTAACCGTGTATTTGTATCTTGGTAACTAGTTTAGACCATTTTGATTTTATTTCAAATTTGCAGGTCATGTTTGTGTTGTTGTTCCATTTTTATTCTCATAGGTGATTATTAAGGTTTTAAAAAATGATAAATATTCTTTTAGTCCCCCAAGTGTTGCCGTGTTTTTCCATTTTAGTCACCAAATTTTTTATTTTGATTTTCGCATATTAATTTCATTCTTTTACATTATGGTCACTTGTTTATATTTTATTTATTTTAATTTTGATGTGATGATTTTGTTTATTTATATTTTTGACCCTTTTATTTATTTTATTTTGATACATTGTTTTGCTTATTTACAATATGGTCACTTGTTATGCTTCTTTCTTTATTTCGAATAAACTACTAACTTTTATTTTATTGCATATTAACCACTGTTATATTTGTTTATTTATTTCTATTATTCGAATTGACCTTGTGATTACCCGATCTAGGGTATGATCTACATTATTATGGTCCGAACTCTATTAACATCTAATCGCTAACTTGTTATTTATTTTTTATGTTTGAACCATAGTACGACCTTATGACAAGCCGCCCCGGGGTCGACTCGCATTATTTACGGTCCGGGTTAAATATTAAAAATTAACACTAACATTTTATTTTTATTTCTATTTTATTTTTGTTATTTAATTTTATGCACATTTAATTTTCTACCTTTTACTTTTTATCTATTTAATGTTAGTCTTTTAAATTCGTAACTTTAATTTTTTGTCTTTTTATTTTTTGCTTTATTTTTCAGTACTATAATTTTATTCCTTTAATTATTGTGCTTTATTTTTTGTTTATTATATTCTAGTCCCATGAATAAAGAGAGAGCATTCTTTTATATAAAAGAAATCGATGAGATAGCATTTCTAGTAGTTGGAGTGCAAATCCCGTGGTCTATTCTCAAAGTATGGAATGCTCTTTATTAAATAATTGGAAACAAATTAATCAATGTTAAATAAATTGATCACAATTTAATTTTCTATTCGAATTTTAATTTCCACTATTAAGACAATGTATAAGCGACTAGGTACCAATTTTGGGCGCAGTGGGGTGCTTACCCTTCCCCTACGCGTAATTGACTCCCGAACCTAAAATGAATCTTTGACAATCGCAGATCAGTTTTTTGTCTTAAAAATGATTTTTCTTAAAATTGATTAAAATACGTTTTTAGGTGTTCGATCTACTAAACCCAAAGGTTGATGGCGACTCCAAATCAATTTAATCAAAATAAACATAAAAATTCAAATTTTCCAAATAAGTCGTAAATTTGAGGTTTTCCTCGAAAACTTATTCGTTCGTCAAAAAAGACGTTACAGCTTGACGACTCCACTGGGGAAACTTTAGAGAGTCAGGCTGTTAGTTGCTTTTATATTGTAGTAGTGGTGGAAATTATGAGTTCGAGTCTATAGTTAGCTTATGATCCTTTTATTGAAATTTTGGATTACTATACATTCTTTATGTAGATAATTGTACTAATGTTTAAATTTATGTTTTCAGCTTCACTGAAATTTCTCTTGAAAGTTTTTCTTTATTTTTGTTGTTTTAATTGGTTGAAGGTTTGTGTGTTCCTCCTCACACACTTAACATGTATTTCCAAGACATAAGCATTATACCCGAGCTTCGTCTTAGGTAAGTAAGGGTGAACGCTTTGCTCTCGTAAGAATTTATTCTTCGTATGAGCTTTAGCAAATAACCTTTAGGGTACACATATCTTATACATTCGTAGGGATTTATTCCTTGTATGGGTATAGGGAAGTGAATCCCCTCGAATTGAACTCAATTCGTTTAAACCTATGATGGTTGAGGATTGAGGGTTTGACAACCTAATCGGGCACTGACAACAAGGACAATTCGAGTATATTTCCCTGTTAGAATCGAAATCATACATATAGTGAACCATAGAATGGTCACCCTAGATAGAGATATGCAAAACCTTTGTCTATTAGTAGGCACTAAAATAAGTACACAAAGTAGGAACGACTCTAAACCTTTACATTTTGCTTTAAATTAATAAAATATATTTCTTTTGAAAACTGTGAATTAGATAACATACGATTAGGATCAATTTATTGAAAATAAAGCATGTCGGCTAGAAAGCTTGTATGGGTAGGATTACTATTTAATAAAAGCATGCTCAGGTACATACCATGATGGGGTAGGTATTATATTCATCTCTGAATATCACTTTTATATATATTAATTATCTTACCTGTACTAACTCATTTTTTACTAATTTTGTGTGTGCCATTTTTCATCATTTTTTGTATTGCATCATCATAACATAATGTGAAAGTGTTGATCTGTAAGGGGATATTTAAGTGAAAAATTTTACAATGAGAGATAAAAGTTTTCAATGAATCAGTCGCGTACACAGACATGCACCGAGGACTAAAAGAAGTTTAGAGAGTACAAGAAGGAAACTTGCTTGAATATTATGCCATATTCGAGACTAAAAAGATGATCCATTGATCCGAGAAGTAATCCAGTAGTCGAGTCTTACCTACGATCGTTTCATCGCTAATCACCAAGGAGTGACGCGTGACTTCAGTACCTCAAGGGCATTAATTGAGTTATGTTACAGAGCGTTTGAGGCGCATAATTTTCAAGGATGAAGCTCCAAGATGAAGCATCGACCTCTTTCAAACTCAACATATAGGTAAAATCATATATGTAAAAGGGATTATCTTATAACGTGAATACTTTTATCTTTGATG